TATATATAAATTTAGTAACTTTTAACAATTCTGCTAGCTAGTTGTCATGACCACACCCATGGTATTCACTATCGAACTTCACCTTTTTTTGAATCAGGGTTACCATTAAGTGTCTTCTACAGTACAAAAGTCTTACTTTATGGCAAACATCAATCTCCCATTTCATACACAAAAGAAGCAATCAATTAAAGGAAGAGAAGTTTGAAACCGGTGGTGTTTGATCCGACGATCTTCCCTAGAATTCAGTCGAACGCTCCCCTGCTGCTAATCGATGCGTGCGGGTAACCTTTGATCGTTGACTCATTCACTGCCACCATTACCCGATTCGGCTCACTCTCCATACTTCTGCTATCGACTGAGTCACTGAGTCAAGAAGATGCTCCACGGTTCACAATCTCTTTTGGCTGGCCTTCAGAACACTATTATAATATGTTTGAATAAAAATTAATAACGAAAAGTAAAAAAAAGGGAAAAAAGAGAGAAAAGAATTAGTATTATAATTAAATTTTGTGAAGATAATATAATTTATAGAGCAACAGTCCTTAATTTAATTAATTTAATACATGGTCCTGCCTTCTTCTAACCGTTGACTGTCTATAACTTTAATTTTAGTCTTCGGCACTATCCTTATCAAGCTTATCTATTTTATGTGGGCATGTATGATCAAAAACTTTAGTAGACCCGAAGAAAACCTTAAGATTCAGTAGTTATCCAGGAATATTAGAAAAAGAAGAAATTAAAGGTAGAAGATGAAAGGAGAAGACTAGTCTTAGTTGAATGCCTGCATAGCAACCAAATTTTCTAGACAAATTATTAAGTGTTGTTTTTTAGTAATACAGCTTGTAAAGATTAAGGAAATTTATGATATCTTAATAATTAATAGATTTTTTTAACTTGTGCTTTAATAATATTTAGTAAAGTAGGTTTTTAAATTTTAAATTGTAATTTTGGTTTTTAAATAGAGGTTAAAACTTCAATTTTTTTAAAATCAAAATTAATACGCATTAACCTCAAAAATTAATAATTCAATAAAATTCTACTAAAATTTCACTACAAAACTTATCAACTTTTTGTATAATATTTTTTAAACCATTTTCATAGTCTAAACAAGTTTTCACTAGCAAGAGCATGTTTAGTAAAACTTGTAGGTGTTTCAATTTTTTTACATTATTTAT